GTAACTGAGACGTTGTGTTCCTAGAAATTTTTGTGAGCAATAGGAGTGATTGCTGACAAGTCACTTCATGTCTCCTATCATTGTTTCTACCACTTTCATGCCTGTGGATGTGCAACTATGTGGTTGGTTTCTACCCAAGAGTTACTGCTCCTAAATTATTCCCATATTTTGTAGACGGTAGTCAGGTAATACCTAACTTATGAGGCACCTACACATGAACCCAGTGAAAAACCATGAATCTAAATTGTTTAAGTAAACATATACAATTTAAAGGCACAAGATAGAGTTTTCAAGTCCAGCCAGAGGGAACAGAACAGCTTTCCAGAAGCATTGCATTTACAAGTCACCAGTGTTGCCACACCAGTGTCTTTACATGTTGCATACATCACCTGCCTTCTAACTGGAAATTCAAGAAAGCAAAGTCTTCATCCGAAAATAAATTCAGCCATAAGATATGGAGTAATCTCAAAACTTGGCATTTTGAAACAGAGTACATCTGTGTCTCAGAGTGCTTACTGCAACTTTGCAGTGTGGCTTTGGTCAGTGCTTCTTCTCCGTTTTTCTTTTTTTCTTTCTTTTTTAAAATTATCTTTAGCATTTTGTTTGTTTGTTTGCTTTGTTGAGCTGCTTCTTCATTACACATATAACAGAAACACATTCTCCTTGGTTAACTTTTAACTCTAGATCTTTTTTTTTTTTTTTTTTTTTGTTGAGAGAGTGTGAGTGAGTGCGGGAAGGGCAGAGAGCGAGGGAGGGAGAGAATCCCAAGCAGGCTCTGCATTGTCAGCATGGAGTCTGACTCGGGGCTTGAAATCACAAACTATGAGATCATGACATGAGCCAAAATCAAGAATCGGATGCTTAACTGACTGAGCCACCCAGGTGCCCCTTCTCTGTATAGGCAATAGTCACATTCTTCTAGATAAGAGGAGTTATTGCTACTTGTCCACTAGCATCCAATTAGAGTATTGGATTAAAGAAATGCCCAATTCAAGAAGAAGCCTGATGGCCAAAATTAACTCAGGAAACAATAGATGTTGGTGAAGAGGTGGAGAAAGGGAACACTTTTGCACTCTTGGTGGGAATGCAAACTGGTGCAGCCACTGTGGAGAACAGTATGGAGGTTCCTCAAAAAGTTAAAAATAGAGTCACCCTATGACCCAGCAATTGCATTAGTAGGTATTTATCCAAAGGATACAAAAATGCTGATTTGAAGGGGCACACGCCCCCCAATGTTTATAGCAGTGCTATCGACAATAGCCAAAGTATGGAAAGAGCCCAAATGTCTACTGACTGATAAATGGATAAAGAAGATGTGGTTTATATATACAATGGAATATTACTCAGCGATCAAAAAGAATGAAATCTTGCCATTTGCAACAACGTGGATGGAACTAGAGTATATTATGCTCTAAAAAAAAAAGCCAAATAAGTCAGAGAAAGACAAATATCATATAATTTCACTCGTATGTGGAATTTAAGAAACACAACAGATGAACATAGGGGAAGGGAAGGAAAAATAAGATGAAAACAGAGAGGGAGGCAAACCATAAAAGACTCTTAAATACAGAGAACAAACTGAGGGTTGCTAGAAGGGAGATGGGTGGGGGGGGAAGGGTTAAATGGGTTGATGGGAATTAAGGACACTTTTTGGGATGAGCACTAGGTGTTCTATGTAAGTGATGAATCACTAAATTCTACTCCTGAAATCATTATTACACTATATGTTAACTAACTTCGATTTAAATCATAAAAAGAAAAGAAATAGCCTGGTAAATCTTTAGCTTGCAGAAAGGCATTCATTTCAGAAATGCTATACTCATAAAATAGTTTTGAAACTCAGGATTCATTTTATTTTTTCCTCTGACTAGTAGAAGTCAATGTCACAGTGATGAAAACTGAATTTTGATAACTGATATACCATACAATGGAAACAAATGTGAAAAAAAAAATCCTAGCAACACTGAATTCTTGCCTTTGAATGTCCATAAAGAAAATACTTGAGTTACTTCTGAACCAGTAGGATTTGTGGGTATTATAATGCCGATGTTGAAATCTTCGATGATTTGCCAGGCATTCCTCTGGGACAAACTTAGATCAGTGCTTCCTATAGGTAGGACTTCATTGGTATATATTATGTAAATGGTGTCATGATATGGACTACCCACCTTTGAAAGGTGTGGGAAGGTGTTGGAAATCTCACTGTCTTTTCTCTGAAGTTATTTTGTATAGTTGTCAACTCCTTTCCATGGAGTTATAGGAGATATGCCACTCAGAAGAGTGCTGTTATGAGATCTCATTGGAGACCCTTCTTTCCTCTGAGTTTGGGTAGACATTATACTAACTAGAAGTCTAGAAATTGTTTACATATTTTCCCATAGTCTTTCTTAGATTTGCTTCTAAAGAAAATATTGATCTTCATAAGACCAAAATGCAACCTTTCACTTAATTGCTGGAAGAATTGTCCAAACCCAGACTATAATAAATCCATTAGGGTAGAGACACCATTTCTTTTTTTCTTTACGTTTATTTATTTATTTTGAGAGAGACAGAGAGAGCACCAGCTGGGGAGAGGCAGAGAGAGGGAGAGAGAGAGAGAATCCCAAGCAGGCTCTGGCTGTCAGTACAGAGCCCAATGTGGGGCTTGATCTCACAAAACACGAGATCATGATCTGAGCTGAAATCAGGAGTTGGACGCTTAACTGACTGAGCCACCCAGGAGCCCCCACACCATTTCTGCTTTTTCCAATGCTCGGTCATGTCTAGTGACATAACTGTATTATCCAAGGACAAAGAGCCAGATCCCTCATTTGGCATTTGATTGTCTGCTGGCAATACCAAAAAGATGACAGTCATTAACATGCCTTGTTATGGAAGCACACACAGCCCCCATGGCCCAGCACCTTTATCATTTTGACTTTTTTTTTTTTAATGCTATTAAAATTATACACATGATATTTTGGTAGTCCTTAAAAACAAAAAGGAGGCATTTTATAGCTAAACAGTTTTATTGGCTTTTTGTGAAATAAAAAACACGAAAACAAACCACCATGGTTAAAGGCCATAATCAGCATCAACCAAATGAACCAGCCACTTGGTTACAGTAGCTGATGACAAACACTAGTGGATATTATTGCTTATTCCCCAGGTTCATTTACATGTCCATTATATTTTGGCAAGATTACAATCACATGGGAGCTTTGGTTGTATAAATTCAACTCTGACCATTCACTAAAAACTCAACTGTTGCCATTTTATGGTGGGATATATGTCAAATCGTCCTGAGTCTTGACATTTATCCTCTCATTCTGTCTCCTTTCTCCTTCTGTTAATGCTTTACAGCCCCACTGACCAAAAGTTAAAGTAAAAGCATTTACAACCATCCATCTCTACTCTAGTGCCCTCTCCTTTGTCATGAGAGGGTGATGCATTTCTGGGCCTCTCCAAACTCTTGTTTCTGGTGTGTATCCACTGCCAGTAAATAAATGTCCATCCATAATCTGGATAGATTTTCAAATGCATATGGTTGTCAACACTGGGTTTAGACTCAACTCTCTTCTAACTTCCGACAACTAGAAAAAAAATCAACAGCCTTTAGCATCAGTAAGTTGACCTCCCAACAAAATAAGCCCTAGCCCCCGCCATACAACATCCCATGGCAAGTATGGAGCTGTCGCCTTAAAATGCTCTGTATGAGTGCTGTAACGTTTTAATGTACAGAGAAGCAATGACTGACTGCTTCTATAAAGCTCCCCTGCTCAATGCTTTCTATTTTAACACTGAAAACTCAGAATGACAAAGGGTCAGGACTAACTCACGATAGCACCATTTCCTAGACTCTTGGAATAAGATTCCTGTCTGCGTTGGAGAATGCAGGGACCACAGACGACCCAGCCTCCAGCTTTGCGCTTTCATAGGCCCCGCTGAATCTCAGTAGGGGTGGGTGGTCTGCCTCAGCCTACTTCTACAGTGGCATGAATTTTCCCTGGGAAGAGTTAAAAATGCGTGTCTTACAAAGTGAAGTTGGCTGCAGGTGAGAGACCTGAGGAAGCCTGTTTCGGTTGGAAAGACGATGGGACAAAGTCTGGAGATCTTTCCCTCGCCCATCTCGATTCAAGTCATTAGAGAATCTGCATGCAGAAGCATGGCAAGATCAAGGAATACTGCGTGACACAAACCCGAACACAGCAATCCAAACACCAACACTCTTATGGTATCTTTTGTATTCAGGTCCACTGGTGGGTTTGCCCTGGATAATGCTGGGATTTAATAAGCCCTTCTAATGATTATAAAGATTATCCTCTTGAATCTGGACATTTTAAACAACAGAAGATTTGATATCACTGTATTTTACATGGCACATATAACCATATAATTACTAGCACTTACACGGCAAATATTGCAAATACACATTCTTGGAGTTGACTTGGTAATTATACCAATGTTATTCAGCAGAACAAAGATTAAACACTCTCTAACTTGCGCTTGGGGGAATTTCATTCCAACCCTTTACTTTACAACGAGAGGATAACCCTCTAATTATGTAATAATGCTTGGTGGTCATGTGGGCAGAGAATCACAGGGTGACTTCATGGTTAATTTGTGGCCTGTAAAATAAAGTAATACATAGTATTTTCAGTTCAACAAAATACAAGAGACCATATAAAAATATTTTCCAATTTGGAATTTGAAACATGAAAGCTGGATTTTTTTTCCTTTGTATAAAAACAAACGGAATAACGGACTAAAGTTTATTAAGCCTTCTAACAAAAAATATACATATAGGTTTAAGGAATGCAGTGAGCGTCAACTTCCCTTTTTGTCCAGGCTCATTGATGGGGAGGCTTGTGCTTTGATCCCAACAAAGATAAATGCACAAAAGTGGAGGAAGATCAGTGCCTGAAACCTGAACTACGACTTATCTCTAATAATAGGACTAATTTTACAGTAGTGCTTTTAAAAGTGTGTGTCAGATTACTGATTTTTGTTTCTTTTCCTCCTCAGGCGACTGCTGGAGATGAATTCCAGAAGCACCACTTCCGTCTCGAGTGATGTTTATTTAGTGCAATGTCTTCCTTCTCTCGTTCCCTTTTCACGCGCTGGTAGTGGTCTTCTTCCTTCAGGTACCACACAGGGGGCCAGCGGTGCCGCTCAAAGTATTCCTGGTTGTCTGATGAAGGAAAGATGAAGATGATAATACTCTTGGTTCATTGAATGCTTCTATATTCTAGGTTCTGTGCCTAATGCTTCTCATACATGCTCTCTTATGTATTCTCTCAACAGCCCGGTGTGTAGGACCATTTGCAGATAGTGACAGGCAAGTTTTGAGAGTTACCATCACTTGCCTGAAGTAGCCGGGCACAGAGAACCTGAACCCAGGACCGCCTGACTTCAGAGTGTAGGCTTGGCCCTAGGCATGCCCCCCTAGACAAGGACGAGCAACAACCTCGGCAGGCTGTGCAGCAGGGAACCCCGATCCCCACTCCACCCAAATCCCTCAAGGATGAAGTTCTTCAAAGAGAATTCCCAACCCACAAGTCCTTGTGTCACATCACATGCATGTGACTGCCAGCCAGTCACAAGGAATTCTCCATGAGCTGCCTGCTGCTCATGGACCTTCCCAAGGGCACAGAGGTAAATGCTTCGGTTGGAGGCGATGAGAGCTGGACACATAGGGACCCACAGTCTCACCTGCAGATTTCGATTTGATTTCCTTGCGGAACTTGGAACAAACGCTGTTGTAGTTGGTGCAGATGTGGTGCAAACACCAGGCGGCCAACTGGTGGGCGTTGTGGAACTACAGGGAAGTGACCAAAAAGGGGGGGGGTCAGACTCTGCTTTCTAAAGTGGGGCCACAAAGAATAAGGAGCCATGAGAGGGGTGAAAGAGATAAAGGGCCTGTGTGACTAATTCAGTAAACCTCTTGTTTTTTTTATTTTTATTTTTTAAAATTTTCTTTTTTTGAACGTTTATTTATTTTTGGGACAGAGAGAGACAGAGCATGAACGGGGGAGGGGCAGAGAGAGAGGGAGACACAGAATCGGAAACAGGCTCCAGGCTCTGAGCCATCAGCCCAGAGCCCGACGCGGGGCTCGAACTCCCGGACCGCGAGATCGTGACCTGGCTGAAGTCGGACGCTTAACCGACTGCGCCACCCAGGCGCCCTTAAACCTCTTGTTTTGACTACAACGTTTTGACTTTGGCCATGGTTCCAACGCCAGCCAAATATAGTGTTTGGCACACCCCTTCCTTGCCCCTGTGATAGGCGCACCGAAAATAATCATCATGCCAGATCAGGAGCTGAGAGCGCGCCTTATCTCCCAGCCTCCCCCATCGCTGGCCCACTCGTGAGAAATGACCGTGGCCTCAGGAAGGTGCCAGCCAGCAGTGGAGCAGGGACACCAACTCTGTTTAGGGAAGCCTAGGCCATGGAGCACTCTGTGTCGCAGGTCAGAGCTCAACTTGCTGGGGCCGAAGATCTGAAAGAGGAGACTGCAGAATGTGTAACTGTCCTATACCTGTCCTTTGGTTACCTGAGAAGAGGGGGTGGTGTGGGCAGGGTGGCAGGGAGTCGACACTCACAGCATCTCCTTTCTGAGCAGGTGCCTGGGGAGGTAGCAGCTGAGGGAGCTGTGATCAGAACAGACTTCGTGCTCAAAGATCGACAGTCACCTCCCCATTTCTCCCCAAATTTGGCAGGTCTACTCCACACCCCACACTCTGTCAACGTCTTTCTCAGACATCCATTCAGTTTGTTGGTCCTGAGGTTTCTTTGATTGGGTGAAGCCCCGAAAGTGACAGGGTGCTTCCTCTCTACCCACGTCTCTACCGTGAACAAAGGCCCAGAAGAAAGGCGAAGTCCTCAGAAAATAACTCAAGAAATTCTGAGAATTGCAACCCCAACATTATAGACAATTTTGGCTGATGCTTCCAACTTCTCCTGATATCAGGTTTCTTTCGGAAAGTAAGATTAGGGCACTGGTGTCCTGGAGTTGGCCTGCACCCGCCCAAGGGAGTCAGTTGTGCCTATTTCTTCCCTACTCTGAGTTCAGCAATTTCACGTTGTTAAGGTGGGGGGATTTACACCATGGAAACTGGAAAATGCAACAACAGATCAGGGTCTCACCTGTCCCCAGGCTCATTGTGAAACAAGCCCAGCATGCCACTAGGCTAGGGTCTAATGAATGAGCTAAGATATGGAAGATGCCATCCTCAACTCTTCCTGCCAACGCGTGTCAGGGCAGGGACACAGAGCAAATCAACACAACTGCAAATCATTACCTCAAGTGGCCTCGCCCTATATGGAATTCTGGGTCATTTCATTTTCCTCCAGGAGGAGTATTTACCGGAGAGAGCACAAGTTGTAAACTATGCTCCAGACCTGTTTCAAAAGACCTCAGATTCCAAGTATGGACAACCAGTTAAAAAAAAATTTTTTTAACATTTTATTTTTGAGAGACAGAGAGAGACAGAGCGTGAGCAGGGGAGAGGCAGAGAGAGGGTAAGACACAGAATCCGAAGCAGGATCCAGGCTCTGAGCTGTCAGCACAGACCTTGATGCGGGGCTCCAACCCACAAACCATGAGGTCATGACCTGAGCCGAGGTTGACCCCTGGCCTACTGAGCCACCCAGGCACCCCTGGTTTTGATGGGAGCTTGCTAATCCTACTGCAACAGATGTCTGTTCTTGGTTTTAATTGTAACCTCTACTAGGCTGTGTTTCCCATTGGATTTTAGTAATTCATGCTTCTATTTCTCTCACTGCCTATGATTGCCCCATACCATTTGTAGCCACATGTCCTTTTGTCTAGGGTGGTGTCTGATATGTGGGGAGAAAATAAAAATACTTGTTGCATGGTAAGTTACAATGAGCAGGTTGCTGTAAAGTCCTCTTCTGCCTTTTCCCCTTGGGAATCCCAGCCATCTTGGCCTGCTACTTCCTCCCCCCTTCTCCCTGAAACCACTTCCTCTCCCTTAACTGAGAAGGATCTAAGACTTAGTAAACCACCACCCTAACACAGAAAGGGAGCGAAAACCAAAGCCAGTGGGCTGAACAAAGGACTGAAGAATTTTTTCTTAGTTCCTCCGTAAACTCATTGTCAGTGAAGTCTATGCCAGGGAGTAAGCATCCTGCATGGGTGCCTTGTATTGTGAGAGGGCTTCTACTCTTCACTGCTCTTTCTTGGACATTCTTTCCCACTTGATTCTCAAAATAATCTGTAAGGTTGACAGGATGATAAGGAAACTGAGGCAGAGTTTAGCTTTGTGCCTTGAGTAAGTTATGCATGACAAAGCTGGAGCTGGATCTTGGGTCCTTGCTGGAAGAGTGCAAGTGTGTACTGGGATTATGGAATCACAATATTGATATTAACAAATACTGATTTTGGAAAACCCCAGGAGAGCTGCAGTAAGATGTAGGGCATTACAGGGCTTCGTGGAGTTCTAGAAACTGTCTGATCTTGGCCAATATGTGTCCAAGAATTCAAACAAGGAGAGACAAAACCTTCCCCTATCATGCCCCACGTTGTTCTCCCACATGTGAAGCTGGTGCCTCGGGGGACAATGGGGCTGGCGTGGGGTAGGGTCCTTGTTGTTTTCTCAAACGAAGCCCAGCAGGGTGAATGGTGCATGAAACGTGAAACTCTCAGATCTTCTCAGTGTACACAGGGCCCTCTGTGACTCAGTGGTGACATCTTTATTTAGACAGATGCAACAGCGGAATGTTTTATCAGCATTAAATGAACTGGTTGAACACACTGAAAAGGTGAAAGGCAAACTGTTACAGACCTGGGCCAGTTCCAAATAAGAGAGCACTTCCCCGTCGATGCCCACGCCGCTCATTGCGGCCTTCGTCAGCTCCTGAACAGCATACTGCTCTGGGGAAGAGACAGAACGGGAGAAAGTTGAACCACACCCTGTAAGCCAGACATCTCGCCTAGAAGGTCTGGTCTGGGACCACCTAACTGGAGAGGAAGTATGGGACACAGCTCTGGTAGCCATCTAAACTCAGCTCAGGGTGGCCTGTCAGCATGGGGAATTCTGGTCTCCAGCCACTGTACCAACAACTGTGGGACACTCGTTTGCTCTTCTGAAATAGCCAGAGTCCTCCAGACCTTTGCTGTCCAGTATGGTAACTACTGGCCACATGAGACAAGTTCAACTTAAATTAAAATTAACTAAAATTAAAAATTCACACCCTCAGTCACACTGAAGTGCTCAATAGCCACATGTATATTGGGCAACACAGATGCAGAACATTTCCATCCCTGCAGAAAGTTCTATCGGATAGTTCTGCTCTGGAGAATCCAGCACCTTCATAGAATCCTCTAGACTCTCTGCTATCTTCCTGTTTCACAGTTTCTCCACTCCTATCACTCCAATTCTCAACAGTCTCTGACAGTGGAGGGACTGAGTATCAGAGGAATGGATCCATATGGGGAATTAAAAATTTGAATGCCTATGTCTGTCTCAACAGCTGAGACCAGAGGTAACAAAAATATGGTTGGGAGAGCCACTTAAGCCTGGGAGCTGCGTCCAAGGCTTGGAAGCTGAATTGGAATAGTGGCTCTGAGACTGAACTGTCTTTGCCTCTGTTTCGGGCCATCACCTGCATTTGGGATTGACCTGTGTGGGTACAATCTAGGCTCCCATTTCTAGCTCCTTGATGTCAAGGTGCTTTTTTCATCTCTAGCCACTGCATCTATTCTTCTAGTCCAATAAACTGTCTTAATCATGCTTACCTTCTGTTCTGGCTCTACGTACGTCTTAGTCAACATGCCTCTATCTGGTCAATACGAGATCTATGTTTGAATGGTTTCTTTGGCACAATCTTCCTTGGCTGGACTGACAAAGAACTATTTGGGACTAAATTTTCCAAAGAAGTCATTGGACTTTTTAATTTCAAGTTAATAGCAACATTTCTTGACATTCCTTTAACATGTAGGTTTGCAAAGCATTTTCACGCCACAAACTGATTTTTTTAAAAAAAACATGTTCTAAACACTCTGTACTAACCAAACACTATAAATGATTAAGGGAATTTTCTTAGGAAGCTCTATATTAATCATAATAGTAATGATAGTATTTAATAACAAAAGGAAAGATGCACAGAAGTCTGTCGTTTACCCAAGAAGCTCTCTTTGATTCAGTTCCTTTCACGGAGAAGTCAGTCCCATGTTTTCATCACCATACTTAATATTTAAGCAGAAATGGCATTATTTTAAGATTAATCACAAACCTTCTTCAGCACATCTGGCTCCAAATTGGTTTTGACTATTTAAAAAAAAATCAGTTCATCCTCAGAGGATAAATACTTGTAAAAACTGGATAGTCAAATGGATCAGAATCTCTACCTCTGAAAAAAGGAACTGCTTCCTGCAGCCTACTAGAGTTAGCATTTAAAAAATAAGTACACTCTGGGTGTACTGGTTAAAAATAGTTTTTAAAAAGTCAAATAGCAATGCTTCAACAATCTCTTTCTTTCTTTCCAGTGGGGGAAGAAGCAAGGCAAGGAGGACTTTGATCTCCTGGTAGAAACCTGGAGTCCAGAGGAATACATTTTCTTTTCTAAAGACACTGCCAGAAAGTCAAGTGCAGATAAGACCAGTTAGTTTGTTCTGACATTCATTTTCATTCACTTAATGATTCAACAGGTATTTACTGGGAAGCTAATATGCTCAGGCACTTTTCCGCATGAGGGGGACAGGCAGGCCAATGTATGAAACTGGCACTATTTCTGCTTTCACGATTAACAGGCATCAGCTAACGTAGTGACAAACACCCAGATTGCTAACTGACACCTGCAGTGAATGAAGCTGAAGGTTTACATTTAAAAAAAAAGGTATGTGAATATATATATCCTATTTAGACCTGTTTCAGCTTACCAGCCGAACAAATCCAGAAATGACACATAGATTTTGAGAAGTGAAGCCAAGTCCCCCTTTTTTCTTTCTCCCAAAATGCTCTTGACAATGTCAGAACATTTTCTAAAATAGCTTTAAAAAAAAAAAAAA